AGCTCATCTAGCTTCGGTTAGTTCATTATCACCTACATCGTCAAATGTTCATCATTATCATCTTGATAATAATAATAATCATGCACCACCACCACCATCTTTACTTAATAGTGGTTATTCTCTATTATCATCATGTATTAAAAATGAACCTAATGAAAATTCATATCCGTCTGCTAAACGACAACGAAAAGAACAAGCATCATATAAATCATATTCAACAGATGTTAATAATGATGAACGAAATATAAATTTTGTTGATCAACAAACACAAGTTGATGAATGGCAAATAAAACGTTTATTTGAATGTTTTCATTGTGAAATTATTTTCAAAGATTTTGCAATGTATTGTACACATAAACAATTACATTATTCTCCTGATAATCCTTTTCGTTGTGCACAATGTGGTGAACAAAAAGCAAATAAATATGATTTTTTTGTACATGTTGCACAACAAGCTCATGATCTGACCTGAGTAAAAAAAAAGAATCAACATTTTCTTTTTCTTTTGTTTTTTTTTCCTTCTTGGCATTTAGTTCTTTTGGTTTGTACATGTCTTTTTTTTTCTTTTGTTGCTGTTGATTTTTTTTTTGTTTTTTTTTGTTTTTTTGCCATGACATTGAAGAGCGAAACAACAACAAAAAAAAAAAAGAATGAAGTTCGTATTGTTTTTTTTAAGGGCATTTTTTATTGTTTATGAAAAAATATCTTTACGACGATCACCATATGTTGATAAAAGTTCTTCGTCGATCATAAATGTTGTTAATTTTCTTTCGGATACTTGAACATCATTAAGACGATGTTCAATATCACCTAAAAGTTTGTCAATTTCAATATGATGATCAAGTAAATGGGATTCAAGATAATCTTGTACATTTGCATCTTTAACATTTTCAGCTTCTTGATGACAACGAACAACTTCTTTCCATGCATCTTTATTTTGACGACGAGCTTCTATTAAACCTTGTGAAATATCAAGTGTACTTGATAAATCATTACGAATTTTAATGCCATCTTTATGAATCAATCGTGTAAGTTGAGCTTTGCGTAAAGCAACAAATTTAATAAGATCATACGCTTTTGATGAATCTTCATCACTTAATTTAACAAATAAACTTGAAAAACCTGGATAGGCACTAGATGTACCAAATTTTGATGATAATTGAAGATAATTATATGAAGCCGTAAGTTCTTGAGTTGCCAAATCACTTAAACATTGACCTACACCAGCATTTAATGTTATTGCTGATGTTTGACTAATAGCAAAAAATGAAATTATAAAAGCAAGACAATGAATTGTGTGCATCATTATCATATGTGTGCGTTCGAAGGATAGTTAAAAGACTAAATGCTTTATGATCATGTGAAGAGACAAGAGAAACCGATGATAGCGATGATAAAAAAGTGCATGACTGATAACAGCTGAATTGCATAACTGTGCGTCAACATTTGCCTACTTTTCACTTTCATCACATGATTTTTGTTGTTTATCTTCTTTGGAAGACGAAAATAAAGGCACAAGATGCATATTAAAGTTAATATTATCATGATTCACAGAATTGTGAGGTTTTTTTATTTTCTTAAAGTGGACCGATATCACTATATATGAAATACTTAATGATCTCATTTGAATGTTGAAAAAGTAATTTTTATTAAACGTAGTAATGAAGATTATTAAACATATTAAGTTTAAATCGGATGTTTGAACAGGTCTGACAAGTCGTTTTAAATCAATACTAAGTGGATGACAGAATAGTGATACTTGACAATTTTAATAAAAGCTGAAAAGACCTAACAGGTAAAAAGATGAAAAAAAAACAAACTCAATCTGCTTCAAAACTCGCATTAGTTATGATTTATGAGTGAATGTTCTCGACGGATCAATCATTTTTAAATTCGTACTCTTTGCATAAGTTAAAGTCTAGTTAGGTATGAAAAATGTCAAAAGAAGAAATCCTATTCAGCTCTCCATCCATAGTTATTAGGCATTTTACAAGGATTTTAGTTTCTGGCATGGTAAATAGCAACAAATCGAATACCGGTATTTCGATCTGAGATTTCGCCCACAAATAGATTTACTTGTCAATAGAACACTTTCAAAAACCTGAGCTAAAAGAAAGCATATGAGTATCTAAAAGAATTTAGTTTTAATCAAAACTCATCTACAGATGATGAAGAAGTATATGATGAAGTAACTCAATATAGAGGGAGAAAATTATCAATAAGGTGAAACTGTATATACCTATGATGGAAAAGCATTTATGTATGTATCCAAAATTATGGCATTCAATACCAACACTGTATTCCATTCCGGCGTCATCAACAACAAGGAAAACTATAATTAGCAAAATCGATCAGATTTTAGAAGCAGAAAGACATCAAGTGAATCCTGAATCACTTCCTGTCTTTGTGGAACTTGAGAGGATCTCTTCTTTTTGTTGCTGTTTGTGGAAGACTACTGAATAGTATACTTCTTCATATAAAGTATTGGTTTGACAACTGTGCTATGACAATGAACATATGTGCTGGATGTCGATTAAGTCCAATCCGAATCCGGCGTGGAAAATCGTGCACTTATAGATCACTACATAAAGAATGGCCGAATTTTCTGTATTTTTTTAAGGATTCAATCATCGTATGTAGGAAAGATTCCTTTGGGCTGAAGTTTTCAAGGCCTTGGACTAACAAATAGATCTTACAAGGAGACTTATTCTTTCGAGATTTTTCATCTCTCACTGGACTCCATCTGATGCCCAGAGGGCGAATTTAAAAACGATTGATCACTTGAAAATGTTCATTCATTAGATGACAACACATGAGTCGAAATGACTTTCAAATTCTAGCGGCACACATATGGACTCATCTTCTTCTATATAACAACTTTATCGTTTTGTTTATTTTTTCTGACACTAGAGTAGTACAATTGATCAGAATGAATCAATAATATTCCGAATATTTAATTACGTACTAAAATTATTAACATCATAAATATAGAAAATTAGTATTGTATTGTTGTTTTGTTTGTTTTTCATGTCAATGAACTGGAGAGAACATACATTATATTATTATAAATTTTTTCAGCCATTTACATCGAATAGCAACAGTGATACTGTCTCTTCGTCTATGCTTCTCATTAGTTTCTCCACTAGAAGAAGCATACTAATGCGATCATGATGTATTTTTGGCTTATTAGCTTGGGCAAATTTTGCTTCATTCAAAGGATCACCACTCATTCTTCTGTAGTCATTGTGGAGAGTAACTCATTAAACTAAATTTAGCAGTGGATAAATATCTAAGTATATGGCGACATTTCCTATAGATTCCTGACTTAAATTTATACTGCTTGGCAATCAGATATCATTGTAAAATAATGTTCATTGCTGCTCAATTCATATTCCAATATCTAACGATAGCACAACATTGGTTATCTTATTGCTGTGAGAGTGAAATATGGATTATAAGCGAGGAATATTATGTTTTTCTATGGTACTAAACAGAGGTCTGAATCGGATGAGATGGGTACTAGAGATATACATTGTTCGAGAAATCACTCCATCGTCCTCTCTCTTCTCATACACTCGTCATATAACTGAGCCTACATCACACCACTTGTTAAACATCGTTAGTCGGGCTTGTGGAAAAAAAGCATATAAATTAAATACTGAATGTTAAAAGAAAATATTCAATTGTTAACAGGATCATTCTTCATGAGATACCCTTTGTTTTCTTACCTCATTTTGAAACTCATTTTTTTTGTGTTATAAACAAAACCGTAGTCTGGATACTGAGACGAAAAAGTCGTGCTCTAGGACCAGATGTTTGGGTGTGAGTGAGTGGGTGGGTGATATGGGTGTGGGTCAGAGATGTCCATCGCGGCTGAAAATCTGCCGCTGCCGCGCCGCGACCTTAGAAAAAAAAGCTGCCGCACCGCGACGGTTTATAAAAAAATGTTGCCGCGACGCTGCTGCACCGCGATGACTTATAAAAGAAACGCTGCCGCGCCGCTGCCGCGATGAATTATAAAATAAACGTGCCGCCACCGCGCCGCTGCCGAGACGGTTTTCAAAAAAGTGTTTCTAATTTTACTGCTGTGACTATATTTGACCAGAGACATGGGTACTAGTCCATCAGATTTATTCAATATCAGGGCGTTTCATTTGTAAATACTAAAATTCTATTAAATTCATACAGTTTTTCAATGTCCTCCAAAAAAATCCTGCCGCTGCCGCGATGGTTTTCTAAAAACCTGCCGCTACCGCTCCGCTGCCGCGATGACTTTTAAAAAAATCTGCCGCTACCGCGCCGCTGCCGCGGTGATTTTTTAAAAAACCTGCCGCTGCCACGCCGCCACCGCGGCAGCGGCAGCGCCGCGATGGACATCTCTGGTGTGGGTTTGTAGGTGCTATCTTCTCACTCATGTAAAATTCCCACTCACACTGATACATCCCAAGTCACACGCTCACCCACACCCGCACATCCGCACTCAATCGCATACCCACACTCAAATACTCATCCACAGCCACCTACCCACACCTAAAGACTCAACCACACCCATCCCATATACACCCACATCTACCAATCAATGCCCACTCACCCACTGCTGCACTCTTTTATCCACGCGCACTCACAACTGTACTCTTAACCAAATCCGCGCCCACTTACCCACACATCCACACTCAATCTCACACCCACACTCACGCAGCAACACGCAGATCCACACCCACCTGCCCATAACTGCACTATTTTATCCAAATCCACACCTTCTCACCCACATTCACTCCCTTTTCAACACCCACTCATCCACATTCGCCCACACACCCAAACTTTTTTCTCTGGTGGATATTTTATTTATTTTTTTATCAAAAATTTGCTCACAGTTGACACAAGCAGCCTAGTTCAAAAGTGTCAAAAATTACAGAAAACTGTTCTTCTCTCTTTTGAACTAGTGGCTATTTCTTTTTTTTTTACAGCTAAAAAAAACATTCGTCGATTGAATGATCTGACTACGTTTTTTTGGTTTTTAATCTCAATTTCATTCGAAAGTTTTTCATACGGAATTGTTTTGGTAATTGTGAAATTCGTATGTTTTTAATAATAGGTTTGATAAATGATAATGTTTTTGATGGCTCCTCTTTGTTCTCAAATACTTGTTCAATAGCATTATACGTTTGAGCCACATCTGAACGATCGGATGTAGTAGGTTTTTCACGAGTTTCCAGAGATTGTTGATAAATCAAAAATGCTTGCCTATTATCACCCATGGCTTGATATAACTGCCATAGATTGCTATAGGACGTAGCCAAATCGGGATGATTCGAAGGGAGACTTTGTTTTCGAATTTCAAGTGCTTTTTTATAAAATGAAAGTGCCTCTGTGTAATCTTTCATCTTTTCATATGTCGACGCAATACTATTGTAAGAATTAGCCAAATCGGGATGATTAGGTGGCAGCGCTTTTTCATAGATTTCAAGTGCTTTTTTGTGATATGATAACGCAGTATCGTATTCTTTTTTATTATCATACAGTAAACCAATGTTGTTATACGTTGTAGCTAAATCAGGATGATTGGGAGGCAGAGTTATTCGTTCAATTTCAAGAGTTTTTTCATAATACAAAAGTGCTTCTGTATATTTGCCCATGGTGTCATATACGGAGCCCAGGTTGTTATACGAAGTAGCCAATATTCGATGTCCCGAAGGAAGTGATTGTTGTTGAATTTCAAGTGCTTTTTCGTGCGATTCAAGTGCTTTCGAATAGTCGCCCATATTATTATATACTATACCCATATTACTATGAGAGGTTGCCAAATTAGGATGATCCGACGGAAGTGCTTTTTCTTCAATTTCCAATGCTTTTTCATAAAACAAAAGTGCTTTTGAGTACTCTCCCAGATTTGTATACACCGAACCAATGTTATTATAGGATGTCGCCAAATTTGGATGATATGATGGAAGAGTTTTTTGATAGATTACCAGTGTTTTTTCGTAAAATTCAAGTGCTTTCGAGTAGTCACCCATATTATCATAGAGTAAGCCAATGTTATTATATGAGGTTGCTAACGATGGATGATTTGATGGTAATGTTTTCTGTTCAATTTCAAGTGCTTTTTCGTGTGACTCGAGTGCTTTTGAGTAGTCTCCCATATTTTTATATACTAAGCCGATGTTATTGTAGGATATAGCCAAATAAGGATGATTTGAAGGTAGACTATCTTGTTCAATTTCCAGCGCCTGTTGGTGAGATTCAAGTGCTTTCGAATAATTGCCCATATATGTCTGAACTAAACCGATGTTATTGTATGATATTGCTAATGATGAATGATTTGAAGGAAGAGTTTTTTGGTAAATCTCAAGTGATTTTTGATAAAATGAAAGTGCTTTCGAATATTGACCAATGTTATGATACACTTGACCAATGTTGTTATAAGAAGTAGCCAAATCGGGATGATCTTCCGGAAGAATTTTTTGATAAACTTCAAGTGCTTTTTCATACGATGAAAGTGCTTCTTCATAATCACCTTGATTACGTTTAATTAATCCAAGTTGATGATAAAGTAATGCTTGTTCTTTATCATCAGTAGTCAAACCAAATAATGCTTTGTATACTTGTTCAGCTTTATCGAATTTGCCTAATTTGATAAGAAACATACCAAGTCTATGCCATCCTGTTGATCCACGAGTTTCTTCTCGCATTCGTTCAGTAAGAGCAATAATTTGTTGATTTTTAATACTTGCCAATTTAAGTTCTACTTGATAGAGTCGATCGTTATCATCGATTTGTTTGATTTCACCAATACGAAAAACAGTATGCATTGAAAAAAGAATTTCTTGCTCTGATGTGAAATAACTCACACCATCAATTAATGCAAAAGGAGTCGATAAATTCGATGGTTCAATAATCATTTTGAAGAGAATACCGATTACATCAATATTATTTAAAGCATCTTGTGAAAATTCCAATGAAACTTTACGCTTTTTACTTGTTGATAAAAAATTATTGAACGACATGAGTCCACCTTTGGCTTTAATCAATTTTTGAAAATCTTCTTTTGACAAACCTTGGCCTCGATAAACGATAAATGAACGTTTTTGTTGATCATTTGATTGTTCTTTATGAAGTTGTTCGATTTGTCGATGAAGATCTTGTATAAAAAATCCCATTTTAATAATGGTATCCACTTCATGTGTACGTAAAGCTCGATTAAGCATTGAATGAATAAAACATGGGTAAGTATACCACCAGATTGGCGAATTTTTACGATAATTTTTTTCAAAACCTTCAATAATTTGTATTTCATTCTCATTACCCGTATATTGTTCTAGGCAATAAGGAACTAAATCTTTAATAGATTGTTCATTATATGTTATTTCGAATATGATTTCTTTAAGTATTTGTGTATACATAAATGACTGATCGAGTTGATCTAAAATTTGATCAGACACTTCACTTGCTGTAATAAAACTAACAGGTGTAAAATTTTGTTCACACTTTTGAGCAGCTGGTTTCAATGCATCACAAATATGTCGAATTTGTGTAAAAACACCCATTATTTTGGGCCAATCTTGTGCCCATTTTTCATGTTTTACTTTACTGCCACAAAAAACATAAATGGAATGAAGTTGTGGTATATCATGAATATAAGAAATAATTTGTTGACCAAGAGCACCAGATACAATCATAAATACTTTTTCATCTTTAATATCACTAAGGAAATCGATACAATGATCAATATTGTTGTATGTTTTCACAGTATTAACAACACTTCGTAATTGATCAACATCATCACGACAATCATCATCAATGATATCATCAAGATTTAAATCCAGCCAGACAACAAGAAAATTTTCAATAACACGAGGATGTGGACGTAATCGAGAAGTATTCGATTTTTTCTTGCTTTTATTGTCACCAATAGTATTACATGTTGTTTTTGCATCCTTTTCAGCCATGTTGTATAGTAGAAGTTGTCGATTTGAAATGATGACTTTATGAATGTTGTTCTGAAAGAATGGTAGAAGCTTTTATAGAGACGAAATTGGTTTTTTCTGTTCTCGACTTTTTATCACTTGTTTAGTTTGCGTTGTCACCTATAAGTAGTCTATTGTTTTACCAAGCATCTCGAAAAAGCTGTGTTGAGCGACGAAAGAAAGAATGTCAATAAAAAAATCTCCGATAACGAACGAACGCAGCAGAGATGAATTAAAATGCAGTCGTTATGTTGGTAAAGTTTGGCTGCATTATATTTGTGCAATTATTCTCATAGTAATGTAACACTGACAGGAGTGATTTATGTCAATATAAGTTTCAAACAAGAAAAAGAACTATTCATTTTTCGCCGATTTCTTTTTACGAACTTGTGACGATAATTTCTATTTATGATGTCTTGCAATGCATCATTGTGTATTATACAAACTACGCAATAGGAAACGGTACAAAGTCTGTATGAAGTTTACCTTTGATAACGTAGGTAAATAAATATTATGAGAGACTGAAAAAAAATACTTAAATGTTAACGAAAGACACTTAAAGATATCCAATCTTTTCTCGTAGTATACTATGAAAAAAAACTATGACATTGGGCTCACCAAAAAAAGCTTTGTTAGAAAATTTCTTTATTCATTTAGACGGACATTGTTGAAATAAACAAACGACTTGAAAACGTTGCCCAAGCTCTCCATAAGCACGGCGATGGTATAGGTAAGTTGGTTTACATTAAACAAAAGAAAGATAGACATGACACGAACTGAAGATTTACAAGAAGAATAAAATTTTTGAAGATATTATTCAGGATCATGTTAAAACATCCGTCCAACAAATGCAGCAGGTTAATTGATAACTTGTGAAAACTACGGTTAATCAGATGTTTTATTACTTCATATCGCTGCTACTAGTTTCTTAGATTTTTTTAATAGATACAGATCAACTCCATTCATCAGAAATCTGTTTTCTTAAAGAATCGTAGAAAAGAAGAACAATAATACTTAATTAAATAATCATGCATGTAAGCTAAAACTTCGATGAACTTTTCTTTAGACTTCATTGATGAATATAGAATCAATACAGAAGTAAACATAAGACAATACAATCAACATTTAACAGGAACTAGGGCTTATTATGTTAGTTGCTCTTTTATTCTATTTCAAAAAAGCAAAATTTTTAATCTATACTTTGCATTTATACATAACTGTTTTTTGTTGTTTTTCAATTTTGTATAACATATAAACTGATGCATTCAAATTATTTTACGACTCTCTTTTCTTTTCGTTGGTTAGAAACATCGCTTTCTTATACCCTTGTACGGTTCTATGTATGTTATAATATCAACTATGTTATTCTTTCTTACTATTATTAATATGTAAAATAAAAATAGACGTTATTTCGTTCTTTTTCCACTCATACACATACAATATACATATTTTATTTTATTTCAGTCAGTGCAATAGTTTCAACAATAAACGAATAAAAACAATCAGTTTTTCTATTCTTCGACATGACAAATTTTTTGCATTTGACTTTAATACTCATCAATTTTTCTTTCTTTCGATTTTCTCTTTTTTAATCTCTATTGAGTATCTGTATGTCTCATTTTCTTTTCAGACATAATTTGGCCAATTAATGTATATTTATTTATGTATGAATGTTGTTGTCGTCACGGCTGAATAAGAAAGGAAAAGTGAAAAAAATGCAACAATATAAAAAGTAATACAAAACATTCATTATATTTCATTCAATTTACTGTGCAATATCTTTTTTCTTAGATAAAACAAGCACAAAAATGTTGTTACGTCTTTGGCAGAATTTGCGATTACTTGAAAAGACACTTTCTGATCATAATGAATATAGAATGTATGCAACGGTTGTTACAGAAGGTATGTAGAAAATTTTCGTTGAATAATGTTTTAATATCTATACGATTTATAATAATGAAAATTTAACTAAATTGACTGAAAACAAGCTTTGACTTTTTACAAATATTAAATAGAATTATGCAAGGGAAGGTAAGCATTACAAAAATTTTTTTTAGTCAGGATCTAGAATACGAAAAAAGAGTCACCCTTACACATCTATAACGTGATACTATCATGTAATGCTAAAGTAATTGGACAAATGTGGACTTCTATTTATCTTCGATAGAACGATGCTAAACAAAAAAATATTTTACTTGAAAATAAAGAGTTTTTTCCTTTTTCGAATCGTTTATAATTTATTTCTATCACGCGTTCATAAACATTATGACGCAGTTGGAATGAGAAGCACTATTAAAAAGAACCCATACTGTTCGTGAAATTCAAAAAAACTACACAAAATGTTATTTCCTAAGAGTCCTTGACAAACACGTTTTAAAATGAATATTTTCTTATCAGTTGATAGGAAATTTTCTTCTCTTTCGCACAGTATATGATTTATATTTGTCACATATTCATGCAATAAATTTATAATTTGTTTTATGAATTCATCGAACATATCTCGTCAAACGACAGCTAGTTATGATTAACCATTATCAACAAGATATTTTTAACGAATTCATATAAAAATTATAAATTTTCGGTCAACTGATAAAAAATATTCCTTTCAGAACTCATTTATCAAAGAGCTATAAGAATCGACGGTTTGTGCATTCCTTTTATAGAAACATGCGGATGCTTTATGGGAAACCTTCTCTTTACTGTTGGATTCTTTCGTTTATAAGTAAGGTATAAAAATAAGTTATATACGATTTGAATAAGGAGAAAAGTCTCTATCTTCTGTTTAAAAACTTTTCTTCAAGAATCTTTTCGTCGAACAGAAATAGGGGTCAGCAGTTATCCGATTGCTTCCACATAAAATGTTATTTTTCTACTAATCATTTTTTGAGTCTTCGAATAGGGTAGGTTTAAGGGAGAACGAGCTTAAAACTTCATAGAGTGAGATAACTGTAGAGGTTCTACAGAGTACGTCAATGTGAGGATTAGAAAAATTTTCTCAATCAAAGTATTGGGTATGGAATAAGTTTACCTTGAACATCTCTCTGCTTAAACTTGTGAAAGTGCTTTTGATGAAATTGAAAGAGGAAAAGAGAGAATACCCTTACCTTTCTGTTACCTTGCAGTATGAGATGCTGCTTAGCAGTAGATTAAATAGCTTGATATCTTCCATACAATTATGACTAGCTGTGACTATGGATAGGTGGATGACCTCTCGTAGAGTTCTGGCTTTTAATAGCTTGAGCTTTCCATGTACACTAACTAACTAATCACAATCATAGGTGTATGTCACAATGTAACCAGCATGCCATGTGACGGGTAATTTGAGACAAATAGTCATTAGAAATTCATCCAGGGCTATTTCACGGTGGATAGTATCAATTTTTGAACACAGTACCTTTTGAATATATGTCGAACTACATGGCTAGTCAGTCATGATGGTTTTGATGAGACCGACAGTGGAAAAGTCGAAAAGACATCGTTCTGGTTCTGTTCTTGTTCTGAATTTGAGCGATTATTTCATGCTACATTTGTATGAAGTTTTTTTTTCATTTTTTGAATTTTTCCAGTCAACATATATCACTGCTCTTACAAATAAAAAAAACAATATTTTTCGAAATTTTAACATTTTTCAATTTATTAAAATTAGGACTTAATTTTGCAACGATAGAATCTGATAGCAATTATAATTCTGATCAAGGTATTCTTGATATTGATAAAGTTCGAATATTACCTATGTCACACGAATATAATCCATCAAGTGTACATGCTGGTCTACTTATTTATTCTGTTGATGGTCAAACAGATTTTATTTTAAATGATGCTATGTTTCGCATGAAAACAGGTGATATAATAATACGCCAAATTCATCATGTATTTTCTGGACCAAATGAAATGAATGTTTATCGTGATTTAATACGAACATTATTCGGTACACATCGTATAAATCTTATCGGCTTAGTATTTACATTTAGTGGTGATGGACAATTTACTAATTGTATGAGATGGGGTCCAATGCCACCCCATACAACCCCAATCCATTCAACTGAACAAAAATTACTTGAAATTGTACTTGTTACACTTTATATGAATAAAGCATGGTTATCAATGCCAATAGCATCACATGTTGATATGGAAACATTATTTCAATCAGGTAAAAAACAATATCTTTTAAAATTAGCTGACATAGAACAATTATTTCATAAACGACGAAAACAACGAGAAAAACATCATTATTTACAATTCTCCAATTTGTTGAAATTAACTCATCATTATTCATCAGATGATTTTCGATCATTTGAATGGACACCAAATAGACAACAAATGTTTGATGAAACAATTCAAAGTTTACTTAATGAATTTTATAATATTATTTTACAAACATTTCAAGATGAAGAATTTGACAGTGATGAATATGTCTATTATGATAATAATACAAAAAGATTATTTTCAAATTTAGTTCATCAATATACACCACTAACACCTGCACAAAATTATTATTGGCCACAAGAACAATATTTTTAAAAAACAATAAATAATTCGTTACATATACATTTATACATACGCACATTTTAATTATGCTATTTACGGTTAAAGTAATGGAGAAAGAAAAAGTATTTGTTTTTGCAAAGCGTACTATTATTTTCCTTTTGAAATAAATTTTTGAAAGATTGTACGAAAGACCAACATTATCACATCAATTTATGCCGAGTATTAAAGCCTAATCAAAGTTAAGAAAGATGAACAAAGTATTGTTTGTATTTGAAATATAATTGTTAAATTACACTTTCCTTTAGTGAGTCAAATCTGATGTTTGACAGTTAGCGACTTTCAAATCATTTTAGTGTCTAATAAAATTGGCTCATGAAAAAATGAGAATTATATTATAAATGAGCAATCGACAGTATTTTAGAGACGGTCCATTAGAGAATCAAGGAACCGAGGCATTGGTCAAAATCTAAATTGTTTATTTTTTATATGTATTAGAAAGACCATCATCTAAAACGATCATACCCAAATTTTTCGTGTATGTGGATGTTCTATAGTAAAGTTAATTTAGATCGACTTTTTAGCACTGCCTATCTATTTTCCAGAAAATAGTGAGAAATTGCCTCATAAATATCTTCTAGGATTATATTTCAACAAGTAAGAAAATAATTTATAAAATATACAAGAAGATACAGTATGAAAAGCTAAACAATGTGGCCTATTCCAGATACTATATATCATCTATTTACTGGGGTTATATAGGATAATGTGGGTGAGAAAGCTAACAGTTTACGAGTGTATAATGGACGATCGTTGACAGTATATTCGCTGTTATTATTGTGAAACTTACATATATTGTTGAAGAAAATATAGAGATTGGAAGTTTAAATCAAGCTTCTTGCGGCTTCCCTTGGGTCTTAACAATCAAGGGTGGAGGCAAGAAGCCAAAGGCTATTGAATACGTTTCTATACCAACGCGGGAGGAAGGTGCAACGATCATTGGATACGTTTTCCTAGCAATAGGAAGTTTAGTCAATAAAAACAGTGCTTAGACTATTCTTAAACTTTCTAGAATTCGCCAAAGCATTCTATGAATCAAATATTTCTACTGTATATTCTAACTAGTTATAATGCTATAGGTTTCGACATTTAAAGAAACGAAAGGATCTTATTGTAGATTTCAATGAGTAGGATGATAGTATTATTCATCTAGCAGAGTTAAAACAGGATGGACATAGGAAAGTATGAACTAATTCAATTCTAACCTTAACAAATCTCAACACTTGTCAGATAACCGAATGATTAAATTAATGTGTATAGCTGTCTAATTTGGTAGTTGAACCGATGAAACGAAGAATAAAATGATATTTGCCGCTTTCTATAACATGTATCGTATATAGTATTATTAGGAAAAAATAAATCATGCATTGAAGATGTAGGCGACAACACAAATAAGATGTTTCAGTAGAACAATGTTATTTTAATTTGATGACTTGGTAGAATAGTAGTCCAAAATGATACAATTTCACAGTGCATCTATTCACTATAAAACTTGTTATCATTTTCATTTATTCATTCATTTGGTATTTTAAGCTAGTATGATTAAAAAGACTTCCGTATAATGAAACAAGACAAGACTTGAAGTACGTTGTTAGTGCTTAAAAAATTGTAGAACGACAGCAATCTTTATAAATATTAGACATGACTTTAATAGATTCTGAATAATTCAAGAGGAGAATAAATAGATACATATTTGCATACGAATTACGCAAGAAAATATGACTCTCGTTGGTGTGTGATTACATTTGATCCTTATTCTACTGCTGATAGAAAGATTTATGCTTCTTAACCAACAAAATCATGCGTTGTATTCGATAACAAAAGTAAAATATTTAAACTCGAGGGTAAAGATATTCAAAAGATGCATGGGACATGAAAATAGGTATAATATATAAATAACGTAATGGCAAACGAGGAAATATTCATAAATATGATATCTATTAATTTTGTCATGTATTAAAACAAAATCTTGAATTTATATGTCGTTGTTGTCATATTTCTTCCGATAGTACTTCATTGAAATACTCTAGCATTTGCAAACATTAGTCTTATTGAAGATGAATTCATTGTGAAATCTATACTAATTATAGATGTGAATATTGATTTACTATTCACATTACATAAAGATTTTTTTCCCTTCAAGAAAGAAAGATTTAACGTTTGTTAAAGATAATCGTTTGATATTAATCGATTCCGTTGTCGAATCGATCTGGTCCAAACAGGATGGATGCTAATGCCTATGCAGAAGATAATTATTGTAGTGAGCTGCATCATATTATTCATATTAAGATAGATAAAATACATGAAACTCCATATTTCAACCACAGAAATGATGTAGTAATGCCTGTTTATTTTTATATTGTCCAGCATTGTGGTCTTAAAACCCCTATTGCACTTGTATAAGATTCACAATGCTTTAGTCAACAAACTATTGATGCTTTTTGCGCACAACCGTTTGAATAAACCAAGGCTTGTAGTTGCATTTCATGATGACATTTACATTCCATAACCGAATAAAATCATAGTATGTTAGCCGTACTTCGATTCAAAATGCCAACCAATAACAAGCAGGAATGTAGTATTTTTTATTCTTACGGTAATATCCAAACTGATATTGGACTTTTGGTTCACATGAAAGGTCAATCATCTACGTCTGGGAAAAGATAGAAAAACACACTGCACTTCATTTATGATACATATTTGATTCCTATGATACTTTTTTTTTAAGGTTTTTTTGTATTGATATTTTTATCAAAAAAGATATAGGCTGCTGTTTTTTGCTCACAGTGAATTTTTTTTCTTTTTTGACTTCATCTACTATAAGAATCAAGATATCTAAGGCTAACTAAATTTCAACGTATGATGACTCACTATTGTATTAGAATCATTAATGTATGATTATTACGTACAGTCTTAAGATTATCCTCATCTAATAGTGGTTGTCATCAATTAAGCGATTTTTCTGTCTTACTGTAACGTGTTTCATACTAAATATAATCATCACTATTTAATCAATGTCTAATTTTATTATAAATTTACTTACTACCCCCTGCAACTGTAAGTCTAGTTTTTGAGTAATACAAACAATTTTTCAAAAACTCTTCGTTTTCTAATTAAATCGTAAAAAACAAATAGTCCACAATAGAAAACCGCCTTTGAAGGAACGATGTGAATTTTCATAAAAGAATGTAAAGATGCAACTGATACTGAGCATTAAAAAACTCAGACCGGTTCCATCTCTGATGAAAAACTGTAGCCTTCTATTACAGTGGACTTCATATAAAATTAATCAAACTCATATTAAACTATACAACAAAGATGAATACATTCTAATATAGTATCTATTACCATTGATCTAAAACCTTTCCAAACTCTCCGCTTCTTTTTTGAGTCTCAGCTAGCATCAAATGAAACAGATTGACTCACTCTTTATATATTAAACACTAAGCTGATATAAGAGCTGATAAACCAATAACTATCATATATTACGAATTTTAGTTCGATCGTTTTTTACTATCAACTGCTTACTCAACATACAGAAGTAAGTCGGTATATTTTATCATTTCACCTTTATTCTTCACACTCGTAGGTTAATGAGATCATGAATGATGACTATGATCAATCTACATTTCATAAACATCTTCAAAGTTGAATATCCTACTATTATCCAAACACTTAACAAGCAATGTTTTTTACTGTTGAGAAAAAAAATCAAATTTCCAGATCTCTTCATATTTCTATGGATAAATGCTGATCATCTTGATTCATTTCGAGTGTCTTGCTTGATTTATTGATTGATTATATTGTACACTACGTTTATTTTTCTCATTGTATCAATTCACACATAGCTGATATGACTTTACAATCAAAAAATATTCGTTCAAAAATGTTCAACAGAATAATATTGAAAGAACGAAAGAATTTAGCTGCCGTCTAAAATGAGTCCATCAATTAGTCGCCTGTAGTGGAATCATTTAACCAATTAGCGTGCCGAATAGGCTTGTCATATTGAATAAGTTGTTGTTTTCTCTTTTCGTTTTCTATTAATCTATCAATTGATTTTATCCAATAAAATAGATATTTCTTTCATCATTGAAAAATCATTGGATGAAAAAGAAACATTCATTGACTTAAAATAAGTATCTACTCTAACATAATAACTTCATTCGCACATTCAAAGCATGGAAGATGAACGTACTAGTAGACTATCAACGCTTATATCTAGTTATGAAGAAACAGTTTCTAAATCATCAGATTTACGTCAACCAATATTCACGTAATATTTCTTTCTTGTTCGTTGATATTCTAAATCTATTATGAAATTCTTTTAGTCCATTCTGGTTTACTTATTCATCTATTCTGAATTCAATTCGTCCTAGAACACCTACAGTTCGACATAATTTCAGAAGTATCGATGAACTTCTCTCTCCTATTACTATTCCTTTGAAAAAAAACGGTAAGTCAAAGTTTCTTTTTTAGTTATTATTCACAAGGGAACCCATCCGATTGATTATCTGCGTTTCACCTGACAGTTTAGATAAAAATACTGAAACGATTCATATCATTAGATCTGTCGTTTCTAGTTATGATCATTGTATTGAACTTTCAGTACTGTTATCTACACTATCAGTTCTACCTATTAGCTCAAATGAAGATTATCAGTCGGATGGATTCGCTCGTTAGATTTATTTATTAACATACTTATTTTAATCAATGATTCTTTGCTCAAATAACTCATAATTTATGTTTATAGATGATACTGGATATAATTCACAATTATCTAGTTCATTACAAAGTCAAGAGAACGATGATGATGATGATGATGATGTTGACGAAGATAATATTGAAAATTTAAAACCAATAAAATCATCAACACCATTCATTAAAAATAATAATAAAACAAAGAAAATTCGTACGGCATTTACAGATAATCAAAAACAATGTCTTGATCGTTTTTATTCAACAAATCGTTATCCAGATCCAACAGAAATGGAAACATTATCACATCTATTATTACTTGATGAAAAAGTTATTCGTGTATGGTTTCAAAATAAACGATCACGAGAAAAAAATTATCCACGAAACTATTCACATTCAACCACAATTAAGAATAGGTCGTAACAATATTCATCATCAACGGATTATCATCATAGAAACAACAGAAAAAAATTTTTTTTTTTTTGTATTTTTTATTTCATGTTCGTAGTGTATTATTGTTTTTCTCATATAACAATAAACAGTTCGATACGCTAATACTCATTATCATCATAATAATTTTTATAAGAGTCAAGCTTCTTTCATAGGTAAGCAATAAGCATTTGGTTGACATTATTCTGAAAACTTCTGAAAGCTTCTGATTTTTGCCCGAGCTTTTGATTATTTATTCAATCAATTCATTACTTTTTTCATAGAGAATAACAACTCAAAATGAGTGAATACTTTTAAAAATAGTTGTTTGTTCTACTCATCAATTTATTTTAAACAGAAAAACAAAGTAGAACAAAAAAAAAATAACAACAGATGTTTAGTTTTGTATTTTTATACTCTCGGTGCTCCATGTGCATCTGGCATACGTTCAATAGTATAACGATGACCATGTAAATACATAATTGGTACACCAGGAATTTTTCTTATACGTCGTTTTAATTCACGATCACATGTTGCCACAATGTAACATTTATGTTGTGTAACACGTTGTACAATACAATCATCAGCATATGTACCTTTATGTGAACATGGTAAACGTTCAAAACGTGGATCTTTTGCAATACGTAATGCTACACGATATTTTGTACCTAGTTTTTCAATTTCACCCATTACACAATCTGTTATATATGGAGTACATTTTGCATAAAGACAATCCATCATTGATTGAATGATATCTAATTTAACTTTGATGGAGAAATTAATAAAATTTGTATCAACCAATATGTGATATGGAGGACCTAAATAAATAATAGAATGTTTTAATTTTGATGATAATTAAAAAACTTGTCAACACAGGTTGATTAGCATTTAAATATGAAGTTCACATGTGTTCTTTAGCCTCATTCTACTGATTTAGAAAATATTAATAAAAAAATTTCTAACAGACTATAGTTGTTTCCCAAGGATTATCAACTGCTACAAAAACGATCTGTCTTATGTACTATATTTTTTTATTTATCTTGTTGGTATTAGCTTGCTTCTTTTGACTCTTACATTCCATTCTTCTTATTTTAACATTACTATTCTTTTAACTAGTGGTTTAACTGACAAATGAATCTTTTATATAGTGTTCTGAAAGTAACTAAACAAAGAAAATGTTGATTATCTTCGCTCTATGCATTGATATTGTTACCATTGATAAGATCTTGTTGAAAGTTCATATTCATACGAAATGCATTGTTAAGAATCGTTTAGAAGCATTTAGAAATGGGCTTGAACAAAGAATTGTAAATGACAAAAAAACAATATATTTATTCCTCTATTATGAAATATTACAGATTTTTATTGAAGTCAGTTGAACTATTTAAAAACAATTTTTGGAAACGTTTCTTTTATAAATATGACGTATGAACGTAATATAAGTTTCATGCAAACGAACATACCGAGTTGTGTATTATATCTGAAGAACAGTGCTGATGTAACAGGTGCAACTTGTTTTTCAATAATTTCACCAATATTTTTCTTTTCTTGTTTTTTATCATGATTTTTTGGTTTCATACGATCTTTTGCTTTGAGTCTTGCATCAGTTAATTTAATCATTCGTTTCATTTCGGCAAAACGTTTTTGACCTTTTGGACGAGTCATTATGATAAAAAACTAAAGTAATCTGAAAAAAGAACTGATCATCATTTAGACAGATGCTAATGGTTTTATAACACAAAAAGAAAATGAGGAAACCAACGGAGCCTAGGTTTATTCTGAAAACATTATCCAATGACTGTATTTCTTTATATTTTCTCATCAGCGACATATGTCAATAGAATATCGCCTTTTTTAACCACTTTTCCCACTTGTGCATTCACTTTTGCAATAGTACCATTTTTACTTGCTTTAATAACATGTTCCATTTTCATTGCAGTCATAACTAATAATGGTTGTCCTTGTGTAACATGTGTACCTTCTTCTACAAGTATTTTATCAATAAGACCTGGCATTGGTGCAACTGGATTACCAGATGCAGCTGATGCACCAACAGCACCAGCTATACCCGATGCAGCAAGTTGAGTAAGAAATGATGGTTGTGGTAATTTAAACTCAAATGAAAAACGACTAACATTCGAATAGAACGTACACGTATCACCATCAAGATGAATGCGACATCGAAATTGATGACCATCAATAAGAAGTACAAGTTCATCTGTTGATGAACGTATTTCAACAGGATATGTTTTATTTTCATAAGTAACAAGTATTTTAGAATTATTAATAGGTTCTATTTGAAATTGATAATCTGAAAAAATAAAGTTTGGTTTGTTTTTCTTTTAGAATTATTGCACAAGAAAAATATTTACTTTTATTATCATAGATTAATGTTAAAGATTGTGTTTGTGAAAAATTTAGGCGAAAAGGACTGTTATATATTGTAAAAAATGATGGCGAACCGTCTAGAATAAATAAATCTTGTTTATATAATTAGTAGAAAAACAGTAGCTTATTAAAAATTCAAATCAAAAATAAAAATTCAGTGCAACGATTGATTACAAAAGATTCTGTTAGTTCAGATACAACAAAATCAATAATGGTAATTAGGAAGCACTTTTTGAGATTCATAGCAAGATGAAAAATTCTCTTTTATAAAGATTTTGCGATTGAGAGCTATAGACAAGGTAAGTCGATAAAAAGGTTTACTGATATCTATATTATCTTTCAGAATAAGTCATATATGAAATATGAGAGATGGTCATTAATTGAAATCAACGATTTCGAAATTTTCAATAGTTTTGTATGGCACTTATAAATTCTGAAAATAATATTTATAATCTCTGTTATTTCCACTAAAACACAAAAATACGAACTTGTATTATATTGTAATTGTTGTTGAGAATTAATAAAAGCTGAAGCAGCAGCAACGGCTATAGTTGGAGTTATTTGTTGTATATGAAATAAAGCATCTTTATTTTCTTTAATAAAATCTGTGTGTACATTTCCCAATTGAAATTGTTTATTATCGCAAAGCGACATTAGAAATGGAATATTTGTTTTCAAACCACCAATCTATTGTTTTTAATATAATTAGAAAAAAAAGATATATTTTAATCTACAAAAATCGAATATACTTACATAATATTGTTGAAGAGCATGACGAAGTTTTTGTAATGCACTTGTTCGATTTGTTGACCAAGCAACTAACTTAGCAATCATTGGATCATAATGTACAGATACTTCATCACCTTCAACAACACCAGTTTCAATACGAATTTTACCATCGTCACCCGTGGGTGGTGTTCGTAAATAAGTTAAACAACCACTACCAGGCATAAAGTCATTTTCGGGTTCTTCAGCATAAATACGTGCTTCAAATGCATGCCCTCTTAATTTAATATCATCTTGTTTAAGTGGTAAAACTTCACCTTGTGCAACTTTTATTTGCCATTCAACAAGATCAGTACCAGTAATCATTTCTGTTATTGGATGTTCAACTTGTAGACGTGTATTCATTTCCATAAAATAAAATTCATGATTTTCATCCATTATAAATTCTACTGTTCCGGCTCCAACATAATTAACGGCTCGAGCTGCTTTAACAGCTGCTTCACCTAGTTTTTTACGCGTTGACCAATCAAGACCAGGCTATAAAGAACAATATTCTTTATTAATAAATTTACGGCAATATTTCTACCGCTGGTGCTTCTTCAATTATTTTTTGATGTCGTCGTTGAACACTACAATCTCGTTCAAATAAATAAACATAATTTTTATGCATATCACCAAATACTTGTACTTCAACATGACTGCAAAATAATAAAAGACATCATTTATTTGAATAATAAGTGTTCTTAATTTTACCGAGGACGTTGAATAAATTTTTCAAGTAAAACTGCATCATCATTAAACGATTTTTTTGCTTCAGACTTAGCACCATTAAGTTTATCCAAAAATTCACCTTCATTAAATGCAATACGCATACCCTACATAATCAATTAAGTAAGATTATGAATAACACTCGTCATTGTGACTCGCTTGACTTTCGACTGAATGTTCAACTCTTTCTATATCATTTACTATTTTACAAATCTAATTGACACTAATATCAAACTAATACATGACAATCGATGCGAATATGTACTAGACTCTGTCGAGTTCGTCCCGAACTCGACGAGCTCTAATGTGTGCGATGGTATGTCTCTTCTTTTCATCTATTCAAATAATCAAGTCCACACACAATCAATTCAGTATCACCAATACCTCTTTGAAATTAACTTTCATACTATAAAGCTACAAAATTTATTCTACTTAAAGCAAGTTTGTCTTTCTTAGCTTGGAGATCTTTCGCAGAAGAATTGATAAAAAAAAACTAACTTTCCTATTTTGACAAAAGAGATGATACTAGCTTAAAGCTTATTTCAAAGGCTCTCAAAATATTTGTATATCTCCCAATTGATTCTTCTAATATGGTCCCCATTAAGCGATACACTTACTTTTCCTCCACCACCTCGCACAGCTTTAATCATAATAGGATAACCTATTTTTTTTGCTTCTTTTATCAATGTAGCCTCTGATTGATCATCACCATGATAACCAAAAATAACTGGTACATTAGCATCATGCATTATAATTTTACTCAAATTTTTAATACCCATATCACCTGAAATGGATTTAATTTTAGTTGAGTATTTTTTTTCTAAATAAAAGAATGAAAAAGAAGAACAAACATACGAATAGCATTTGGTGGTGGTCCAATAAATATAAGACTATTCTCTTTACACATCGTACAAAATTCATAATTTTCCGATAGAAAACCATAACCTGGATGAATAGCTTGTGCATTTGTTCGTTTCGCAGCTTCGATTATTTTATCTTTACGTAAATAACTTTGAAGAGCTGCTGCTGGACCTATATGAATAGCTTCATCAGCCTTAAATATTAAACATGCAAAATAATAAAACATGAATATATTGGTGCTTCAACATACC